TTTTTTTTTTTTTTTTGCTCTTTCCATTTTCATTTTTTCCATTTTCCATCCGTCACTTATGTGTATTTGTTACGCGGCTGCCCGACCGTGTTCCTTGCACTTTCACGCACTTTAAATCCATTATTATTCGTTTCCTTTGTTTGCCCTCCAATTTTCTTTCCCGTAATACCGTCTTTATTTGAGAATTCTTCCATCCATATTTGTTTCGAATGACAAATAATTCAAATAATGTGTTTATTTAATTTAATTGCATTGGCTCTCGCCAACGAACTCATGACAACGCCATCTGATATGTTAATCTTAAACATCGAGATTACGTAAAAGGAGATTAGGTGAAAAAGGATATATACTCGTAGAAAGGGCGAACAGGAAGTCTTCCTCCAACGAATATTTCGACCTACTATTAGAGATCACAACTTTCCTCGACAATTTCTTATTTTCGAGCACGATCCCTTTTTCCTCGTTTCTCTGTCTTTTTCAATCGTTGTCCTTCTCCAAACAACATTCCCACGCGCGAAATATTCAATTCGTTCCTTTCCAATTCATTAAAAATCTTCGCGAAAATTAGCATTCACTTAATTCACTTATAACGTCGATTCGCTCATAACTTCGTCCAAATCTGATTCACCGTTTCATTCGCCTCGGTTCCAGACGATTCCCAGATATCCACACCCTCGTCGATCCATCAATCTTTATCCTCTCCTCGTCTCTCGGTTATACACGTCAACCCCACCTTTTCTCCACCTGCCTCGACGTTTTCTCCTCGCATATTTCCATTACACATCTCTCTACGTATATATCCTCGGAATCCCGAAGCGACAACGCGACGACGTTGCACAGGACGTTCCCGAGGGTTTAACGCGAGGTGACAGTACGGAGCCGGTTACAGAGCGCGGTACGAAATCACGTCAAACACGCGTCGAGGAACAACGGATTGGCCCGGAAAATTTCGAGAAGATTTCGCCCTTATTCCTATTATTATCTCTCGTCCTGTCCTTCGCGGTTCGATCTATAATTGGAAGTATTTCCTCTGTGAAAAGGGAGCATCTTAATCGAGAATTTTGGCACCCTTCATTTTCATCGAGTAAAGGAAACGAATCATGGAAATGGCTCGCGTAAATCGAAGGATAAGTGTATTTGAGATTAACGAGATCGTCGTATTTTTTGAAGTATGCGCGAATATTTTTTCGTAAGAAGGATAAGATACGTGTGTACTCAACGCTCGTATCTCGAAAGTCTTGGAAAACGCAGGTGCGAGTCAGTCAATTCTTTAAGTCGAAATGTTTGCGTGCGTGCAATATTCATTTCGAAAAAGTGTCAAGCTTAAATTCAGGTTAATTTATTTTATTTAAGCATGATTTCAATAAATTTTCTTCTTTAATAAAAATTAATTTTTTTGCAAAGAAGATAAAATTGAATTTAAAATGTTTGAGATTTACATTGTCGGAAAAAGGAAATATATTTACTGTTAATTGGTTATTTAATCATTAATTAAAGAATTATGTTGAATATTGTATATTTATTGGAATATAAAAATGTTCCATTAACCAACTTGCTCGTCACTTCTTCGACTCGTTTTAATTTTAATTGAAATTCAGTTTACGAGGATAACGACTTCGAACGATTTAAAATCAAAATTTGTTTGACTAATTAAAAATAGCTTGATGTAAATGCCGTTAACGACGTTGTAATTAAACATCGTAGGATAAGACGATAAATAATTTATAAGTTGATTCGATCGACTTTAATACACGATTTTTAAATAATTGATTGAGAAAGAATCGAAATTGAATTGAATCGCGTAATTATAATTACTATTACGTGTAAATATTATGCACAATTTCACCTAAAAACATCGTCTCGATTATTCACCTAAAACTAAAGCACGTCATTTCACATCTTGTTGTTCGAATCGAGTAACTATGTAATTTCAAATAAAACAAATCTCACAAGAGAGATTAATTTATCGTCGAGTACTCGCGATAGCACTTGGAGCAACGATGGGGGACAAAGATCCAAGAGAAGCGAACAATTCTCATTAGAAAATCGCTTTAGAAACTCGTAAACGACGGCCCTTTTGTTACGTAAATTGAATCCTCTCATCACCTTCCTAAACTCTCGCCAGAACAGAGAAATCTTTCGTCGAGAAGTGATCTTTAATTAAATATCACGTCAAACGAGAGACTTCAAAATCGAATCACCACGAACGAGGTCGAATCGAATCGTTTCCCAAATCGAAACGATATCCCTCCCCCTCCCCCCTCCCTACCCATTTTTTCCCTCCCTCCTCCCAAAGAAGGGAGAAATCCGTTCTACGACGCGCAACAAATATGTACTTACCTTTATCGAAGCGTAGCCTTCCCTCGATCCGGAAATTCCGAACAAGGACGAAATCCCTTTTAAAATCCCCCCTGTAGATCAGCCCGACGAGATCACAGAGTCGAGGCGCAAGAAACTCAATGGAAAACCCGCACCACACGTCAGCTCACCACATTTATTACCACAATGTCCCAGAGCGCGCCAACAATCGCCTCGTTCCCGGTATCAATCGGTCAATTCGATCGGATTATTGCCAGGCAACCTGGTCGACCTGGCAATAAGAGTATCTATGCGATCCGTGGCCGTGACGACGACTAACTCTCAAGTTCGACCACGCGACTCGTGCTTACAACGCGCAATTGCTTTGCGCAGTCGAAAGGTAGAGCAGGGACGACGATGTAGCGACACGACACCTTGGACACCGTTACGGGAATGTCGCGTAAACGAAAACATACGAGGCGTGTTGTCATACGGTGTATTTGCTCGTATACGTATATCTCTTTCTCTCTCTCTCTCTCTCTCTTGTCAGATCAGTTGAGAGTTCGACTATTTTCGAACATCGTTCGTAAAAATTAATTTTTGGAAGAGAGTGATTCTTCGATTCGTCACTGATGACGATTAAAAAATCGACGAAAATATACGCGAGAACGTTTTTATACGTAAACGAATATGAGGTTTAAAACGCTTGGAATGTGGCGCGAATCCAACGACGTAGTTTATTTCGCGCAAGTTTAGAAGATTTAGTGATATTTGGAAGAGTTTCTTTCCAAGGAAGCGTAACGTAATTGAACGTGATACGTATATATAAAGATCCAGCTTACTTCGAGCAAGGAATCTAGCTATTGAAACTCTATTAAAAGTAGGAAAAATTGGAATCGCTGTAACTCCGAGGATAATAACTTTTAATCAACGAGTGAGGGATCGTTAGAAGCGCGGAATCTCGCTCTTTAAAATGCTTTTTGATTTATTTCGATACGACTTCCGGTTGCCGAGATATCGTCGTGTAAAGAGAAGGGTAATTTTTTAATCATCGACTATCTCCGTCCTTATCGTTTACTCGGATCTCTCGCTCGCGCCTCGTCTCACTGACCTATCCCAAACTGCAGACATGTGACAGACGCGATTCCTGGAAGAACGTAGTACGCATTTCCAGGAAATAATATCGGTCAGTGAGTCGCGAGTTCATTCATAACTTGAACGCTCCGTTTCATTTTCTTCGAATCCTTATATCTCGAGAACTATTTGAGATATCGGGATGAAACAAAAAAGAAATTAAAAGTCACGATTCCCTCTATTTTCTGAATGGGTTTTGGCGACAATTTTTTTTTTTTCAATTTCTTTTTATATAATCTTTATAAAAGATAAAAATTCCAAGTTTTATTTACAACTTCATGTTGCAATTGTCTCTCGTCACGATATACAAATACAAGGCTTCGTCGTAAAAAAAAAATTGTAATATCGACAAGCTGCTATTATTCCTGTATTATTATTATTAAGTTTGAGGATCATTTTCTACCTCTGTTACTCGACTTGTTTTTAAATTCACGTTAATTTTATCTCGTAATTACAAATAAAACAAATCTTGATCTGGGAAAAATATCCTTTCGAATTATGGATAATTAAACACTTTATATTATTCAGGTGTTATTTCCCGTGGACTGGAAGAAATCTCCTTTGAAATTCTCCCGAAGTATAGTAAAGTCAAACCGAAATAAGACAACAAATCTGTTCAAACTCTTGAATTCTCCATCCTTCTTTGTCTTTTATTAACCGTTCATTCTCTCGCAATGATCGCCGCGGGCAAAGATGAAACTTTTGAGTTTATAAATATTTTATACATTGTATGCAGTCTCGAGCATCGGCTCGAAGGGAATTGTGATACTTATTCGTCGCGTCGGTCTTCAGGGATACGTTGTGTGTATCGAGGAATGCGGTCAAGTGTGATACGCGAGCAGAAAGTTTCGTTTCACGCTTTTGTTCGCCGTGTACGCGACGTAGACCGATGAGGGTCGAGCTGCATTCGTTGGTCGACGATGCAGTACGGAGACTGGCAAAATACGTCATGGAGTACACGTGATGTAGATACATTACAGAACTTAATATTCGATCGTTGCTCCGTTTCCTTCCCCCTTCTCTTCTTCATTTTCCTTTCTTTTCCTTTTTTTTTTTTTTTATTTTACGGATAAAAAAGATGTATCGTCACAAAATACACGAATTTTAACCTCGAAAGAATTTTTCGTTTAAAAACTACATTCAACGATATTCACCCTCCCTTCCCTCACCCCATTAAAATTAATGCTTAAAACGAGACAGTCCCGTTTCATCCTTTTCTCGAGAATATATATATATTTATTTGAAGGAATATTTCAATCACTTTCGAGTTAAGGAAGCCAGAGAATCTGGGAGATAGATTCTCAACCGCATAATCGTCGTCAACGTTTAATAATCGTGCGTTCACCGTGGGTAATAATTTCCCCATTGATGTTATGTATCCTCGAGGACGGAAACGGGTAATCTGAATCGGAGTCAGCTCGTAAGTCGAGGTTCATTGTGTGGTACACACAGTCAGTTTAGCAGTTCGCCGCCTTTCGGGTATTAGAGTTCTTCTTCGGGGGAGGAGGGAGGGCACTACTCGGTGGGTTTACACAGGATTTTCTCAGGGATTCAAACGTCGGGTTGTCGGAGTGGTGGAAAAGTTAGTCGACGTGCTCCGCCGTTTCGCGCGACAGAGATTTCTCAAAATGTAAATTTAAAGCCCGCAACAATCTTCGCAGTCAACCCTAGAAATTTCGCTGTTCTCGCCACTCGAATCGTCGGATTCCTCCTCTCCTCCTCCCTCCTCCTCATCGCGGCATCCGGTTTCCCAAGTAGTCCGTGAAATTACCGCCTCCCGTTCACAAAATTTCACAAGGATCATTGGCGATGGACGCCCGTTTATTATCCTCGGGATAATCGAGAGGTAATGGACCGTGGCGGCAACTTATTTACCAGAGAGGTATTTAAACCGGGTAAACGGGATGGAATCAATTCTTAATTAAGGAAACACCGACCGCTAGCGATGGGATCGAGTTCAATGCATTATTTCAATTTATCACGATCCTGCGACGAATATTATACGTAGAAATTATGAGGGTATAAGCAATAAAATAATAAATTTGCATTAATAATATAAACGTCTCTGTAGCACGGATTTCGATATTCTTTTGATTTAGATCATTGTTTGAACACGAATGTTCAATACATCAAACTAATACAATCATTTATACACCAAAAAAAGGGAAAAAAATCATACACGAAAATATTCCAATATACAGAAAAATTAATAAAAAATTTTTAACAAAATTTTATTCGTAAACTTTTCGTGAAAAAATCTACTCGAGTCTAATATTCGATATGAAACTATTTTCCACCCTCGTGGCCAAGATTCGAATCTCGAAACAAAAAATTCTAATCTACTCTACGCGACGAGCTCGATCCCATCGCTACGTTTCAAGATACAGGAGAGGGCAGCGTAGAAACGAACGGTCCCCTCTTTTCATATTTGCTTAATCTAATATTTCGCGTATTTGTCGTATGAACAAGAACCGATTTGTCTACCCCCGGAAGGAACCGGGTCGGGTTACCGGGATGGAACGTAACCGGACGAATAACTCCCCCCTCCCCACCCAAGTAACGCGATTTATCAAACGGATCCCCCTTCGAGGACCTTCCTTCGTGTACCCGCGAAGGTTTTCTTGCCTCGAATACGGTTCAGCGTCGTTACACACAGATGCGGCCGCACACAGGTGATCCCCCCCTCCCCCCCGCCGTGGGCTGTGTGCAACGTTCCGGAACACGAGCGGTCATGAGAAGTTTCCTTCTTCCCGACTTCCATCCCGAGACTATGATAAATTATTTCTGGTGTAGCGGGTTGCTCGTGCGAACACCCCTCCCCCTTGGATCCGATGGAAATCTTTTCCCGCGTTTCTCGGGCAAGGAGGGAGGGGGGGGGAAGGAAGGGGGGAGAGAGAAAGCTGCCAGCCAACCACTCTCTGATGAGTTTAATTCGAACGATCGGTCAATTTCACGGATTTTCAGAGACCCTTGTCTTGGGAACAGTTGTGGAATTTTCTTGGTGAAAGAAGGGAGGGAGAAAAACGGAAGCGAGAGAAACGGGGATCGGGGAAATTGTTGATCGGTGTATTATTTCGTCTGGCGAACGATTAAATTTCTCGGTGGCGTATCCATTTCCGTCCCTTCAATTTTCACGGTATATTTTCCTTTCCTCCGCCAAGGGAAAATTTTATTTCTGATTAAAAAGTGAGTATAAATAATGTCCGCCTTGGTCGTCTCGGAGTTCGTGAAGTTTATGAAAAAGTTTCGAGGAGGAGGAGGAGGAGGAGGAGGAGGAGGGGAATATTGGAAACTTTTTCAATGTTTCGAAGGAATTTTTTTGATGATGAGTTACGATTTAATAATTCTGATTAGGAGAAATGATTGTTGTGTAAAAATTTTTGATAAATTTTGCTTAAGTTTCTATTGTTGTGGCGTACAGTTGATTCAATATTTTTGCAAATGTTAAGCAATTTGAATAATCTGATAAAGAGTTTCTGCTTGTTCTTTGCGCAAAATTTATTTTAAAATTCATTTGTTACATATGAATTAAATGTCCCTTTAATACCAAAAATGCGTATATTTCGATATTAATTTCTCTCTTTACGAATATATGATAAGGAAACTCTTTAATTCTTTTTTTTTCTTTAAATACGAACGTTTGTCTACTAAAACACGAGAAAATTAAAAAAATTTGGAAACGAGAGAAGATTATGTTTGAAAAAATGATATTAATTTACTTTAACAATTCAATATTTGCAATACTTTTTCTTTTTAAACAAATATGAATTCAAAAATAAAATGTACATCAAATATACGTACAAATATACGTATATATGAACACTTTTGAATAAAATTGAAATACGAAAAACATTTGTATAAAAATATATCCTCAATTGTTTGATTAATTGGCGCATTACGAATAATTTGGAATAACACTTTGTTTCTATACTGATTAAAATGCTATTCGAAATAATTATTGAACACGAATGTAATAACGTATTTTAATAATGTGTTTTTCAATACGGACTTGAAATAATTAATTGAAGTAAATATCTTCTTCGTTATACGGGAAAGGGACGAAATATTTGAATATTATTTTCATAATATTTTGT